AGAGTTCAGTTTTCAGGGGAAGTGGGTCTGCGTGGCAAGCAAAGGTTAGGTTCCATCCAACTTTCTCTTTTGTGTGCATGTGTGTGCGTGTGTTCCATCTGTATAGATTTAATATAAGTTAAGAAAGCTGATTATGCAATCAGGGTTTTTCCCTTCAGAAAGTGAACAATATTAATGGTAAGGCTGAGAACATTAGCTTCAGTTTTACAACTGTGCCAGAACTTAGAGCAAATAAAACAATAGCCACATACACATGCTTTCCATCTGTTACGCTGTCATTGCCATTTATGTAGTCACAGTGATAGCAGATGAAATAGGCTGTCATCCAGAGCTCCATTGGGCTCTGATGCTCCCAGAGAGCTTTGCATTTAGCAGGGAATGCGCAGCATCCTCAGAGTTAGGAAGCAGGGCTCATTTCATCCCGTTCTGCTGAATGACCAGCTCCATCAGGCCTCCCTCTCCCTCAAGAGTCCCCTGACAGCAGCTATTCCATCAGGCTGCCTCAGTAGGAAAGATGCAGTTTGGCAAGAGATATTAAAAAGTATCTGTAAAGTTAAAAGCAAATAATTACAGCATTTATTTAAAAAACCCAATAAAAATCAATGATAAACTAATAATGATGATGATTGATGTTTGAGATTGTAAGCATCCAGGCAAGGTCTTATTTTAATTGATTGTATGTAAGATTGCATGGGAGCCTTTTTGGCTGAAGAGCTCTAAATAAATAAGCATATTCCTGCCAGTATTGGGCTATGCCTCCTTATACCGTGGCATAGAACAGGCATGTCCAACTCTCAAGAGACTGCAATCTACTCCCAGTATAAAAAAACTGGCAGTGATCTACCCATTGTCATTGGAGGGAGGAGAAGCGTTGTTGAACTTTTTTGGGGGGAGGATTGCACAGAGTTTGTAAGCTTTTCCCCCGTAACTTTTTGTACACAATAAGGATTCCGCAGTCTATCAGGATCAGCTGGTTGGACATCCCAATCTACTGGTTGGACATCCCTGGCATAGAAGATTCCCCAGCAAAGCATTAAAGTGACTGATCCAACTCCTGCTTGAGCAAAGCTTCATGATTATAACATTGGAAGTTTTTGTGTTCTCCTGGAGTTGCTGGGTTGATAAAACAGTGGGAGTTAGGTAAACATTTATTAAAAATACACAGCCTGGAAGAATCCTGTTTAGCATCTTGATTAAGTATCAAGGTACGATAGGAATAAATATTGTCACTTTTCAAAGTATTTTTAATTCCACTCTTCCACCAACTTTCAAAGCAGTTTACAGATCAATAACAACAACAACAATAACAAAAAGCAATCCCTCAGGCATGCAATATGAAGGACATCACACGAAAGAAAAGCAGAGAGAAGGGAAAAAAGCAATCTCCAGCGCCTATCAGAGTTACAGTTCTTTGAATGACCAGCTGGGATGGAAACAATTCAGCTAGCCTGATTGAATGGCTTCTGCTCAGTGGGCAGTAGAAAGCATTACACAGTTTTGAAGCACATCTTGACTTTCACAGGTACAAACCAAGTAAATGGTGCTGTTTCCTGCCCACCTGCTTCAGTGTGTACCACCCTCCTCTACCCCTATCCCCCCTTCCACTGCATTCAGATTATATGCCTGTGTGAAGGACTGTGCACTGAGAGAATTATGGGCAATGTTTCTCTGCATTCAAGGTAAACTGCATTCTGGGTAAGCAGATAATGGGGCATTGCTTTGAAATGCTCCCGTCAACTTGCATCCTTCAATGGCAAGTAGCTCTGTTCTTTCTCTGGCCATGTTTAAAAAGGCAGCTTCCCATTGGAGATCCTGAGAGATACAAAGGAAGGGGCTGATGGCATTGGGTTGGTATCTGTCTGTGGCAGGAGGAGAAGAAGAAGAAGAAGAAGAAGAAGAAGAAGAAGAAGAAGAAGAAGAAGAAGAAGAAGAAGAAGAATAGTAGTAGTAGTAGTAGTAGTAGTAGTAGTAGTAGTAGTAGTAGTTTGGACTTGATATCCCGCCTTTCACTCCCTTTAAGGAGTCTCAAAGCAGCTAACATTCTCCTTTCCCTTCCTCCCCCACAACAAGCACTCTGTGAGGTGAGTGGGGCTGAGAGACTTCAAAGAAGTGTGACTGGCCCAAGGTCACCCAGCAGCTGCATGTGGAGGAGCGGGGATGCGAACCCGGTTCACCAGATTACGAGTCCACCGCTCTTAACCACTACACCACATTGCAGGAGTGTGGAACTTGTGGCTTTCCAGATGGGTGTTGGACTTCAACACCCATCAGCCTTCACTATTGGCCATGCTGGTTGGAGCTGATGGGAGATGCAGTTCAACAACATTTGGAGGGCCAAAGGTTCCCTGCCCCTGGCATAAGGCATTCCTGAAAATGAGCCTATTGTTATTTCATAGAATTATAGAATTGGAAGGGACCATGAGGGTCATCTAGTCCAACAGCCTACAATGCAGGAATCTTTTACCCAACATGGGGCTCAAATTCCACAACCCTGAGATTTAGTCTCATGCAGGGCTTAATGTGGGAGGCAGGAGGGCCAGAGCCCAGGGCACATAATTTTGAGCGGCATGAATGAGGCGCCCCCATGCAGGAATCCTCGTACTGCCCTGCATGCCGCTACTCTAGCCCAAGTTAAGCAAACTTAAGCCCCATTGTAATAAATGTGTTACAACTCTTTATCTTAGCTTGGTTTGGGATGTAATTTTACATCCAGTTGTACATGATTGATTTGCGTGCAGGCCTAAAGCCATTTGTTAAAAAGCTTGTGCAGTCTGGTTGGCAGAAACAAACATCACTTTGTTAGTGTTTGCATCACTTCTTTAACTAAAGTTCCATGTGCACAGAAACCAACAAAGTCTAGCTTAACGTCTGCATCCATCTGGGAGCAATATTATGGTACTGTTTCTACAAACAGTTGTGCCATTGAAATTAATGCAAAACAAGCTTCCACTATTGTTGAATAAATATTGTAAACCTCTCCTTATGTTAAATAAACGTAAGCCTCTACTTATGATAGATTAATCTAAGTTTATATTGGATTGGTGGAACCGGCATAACTAGCACAATCATCGAAAAGTCCTGGCTAAGAGATGGGTCTGAGGCAATGAATAATCTAATTAAATACAATTGCCCAAAATTTATACGGTATTACAGATACAGCACAAATCACCCACCTCTTAACAGCCCTTAAAGCCTGCAAAACTGTAGGATTTGTTACTAGATCATTGGTTAGCGTGTGCTTATTCTTTATAAATAGTGTCTTATTAGCTGTGATAATGAATTCAGTCCATTCAGCAAAATACTTCTGTTTCGGCTTGCAGATTTAAATTTAACCCCCCCCCCCACATATATCCAGTGCTTTAGGGAGCAGCTATAGATTGTCTATTAAGATTTTAGCAAACAGACAACATGTTTCTTGTCTTCTGTTGAATCCCAAAAGCAACCTTTGTCAGTAAGACGCGTAATTCAGTTTCGTAATCAACTTGTGTACAACTACAGAGCATTTGCTTTAAGGATATTGATGCTGGCAAAACTTGCAACTTCTTCCCATGTGGTAAGGCTAGAATTTGTGGGGTGCATAATATTAGAATGAACACACACCCTGATGGGGCAGGCATTGGTAGTCGGCACATAACCATTTCATCAACGTCAAAGCATTTGTGGAAGTCACTGACATTGCAGGGAGCAACCACTGCACAATTGCAATCACACCGCTCCAGAGAGCATCAGAATTGGGTGATAGTCGCTTTCTATACAAGTTTTCATTCAGGCACCCTTTGAGTAAGTGCATGCATTGGGGGAAAATAATAAAGCATGCTTTGGAATAATTAGGGTATCAACTTGGAAATAACAAAAAAAAATGCTAATGTCCTTGTATTTCTAGATCCACAAGTAGTTGTTTAATTTCTTCAGGAGCATGAGCATTTGTTTAAAAAAAGAAGAGAGAGGAAACATGAAATGCTTAATGCATAAGTAGTGTCAAAATGTGAGAGAGACATAAGCCTTCATGGCATTATGTAGTTCTTAATATTTTGTATGTTTTCTCACTAATAGAAAGACTTCTGCAGCTTAAAAATACCTTATTTTCTGAGCCAAATGGGTGTTTACTGATTTGGCTTTGCAGTACCACTTAGTAATTGTCATGCTGAATCTATTTTGTATTCATGTGGGTGACATATGTTGTTGTTGCTGTTTAATAGAAATTCCACAATTACCCTAAACTCTGATTGTATTTCAGAACATTTCATATATTATAGATACCATTTCTAAAAGGTATTACCATTCTCATAATGCAATCCTATACATACTGGAAGTTAGTTCCAGCCTCAGAACCCAGTACAGTGGTACCTCGGGTTAAGAACTTAATTCGTTCCTGAGGTCCGTTCTTAACCTGAAACTGTTCTTAACCTGAGGTACCACTTTAGCTAATGGGGCCTCCCGCTGCTGCCGCGCCACCGCCGCACGATTTCTGTTCTCATCCTGAAGCAAAGTTCTTAACCTGAGGTACTACTTCTGGGTTAGTGGAGTCTGTAACCTGAAGCGTCTGTAACCTGAAGCATCTGTAACCCGAAGCATCTGCAACCCGAGGTACCACTGTACTGTATACATGTGAACAGCTCTAAGAGTGCGCCTCTCTCTCTCTCTCTCTCTCTCTCTCTCTCTCTCTCGTTGAATAGTGAGGTAAAATGCCAGTAAGAATGAATGAATACTGGTTTGCAACGTCGATTGGTAAACACAGACGCCAGTAGGGATGGATAAATTTTTGGCCAGACCTGGATTGTGGTGCGCAACACAAAATCTCCACCTGACATCTCTCAGATCACCAATTTAAAGCTTTACTCCTGTGCATTGAACCAAGTGGCGCTAACTTCCAAGTAAACATACATAGGCCTGTGCTTCATGGTACTCTGTGTACTCCAGGTCCTGACTTTGTAGCATATATGCATTTTACATTTTTCTCCTTTGTCTAAAACCTCTCTCTCTCTCATTCTCTCATTCAGGTATCAAATCCATACTGGTCTACAGCATTCAGTCATAAGGCCCACTCAGCCTAACTGTTTACCGCTGGATAATGTGACACTACCTCAGAAGCTGAAGGAAGCTGGCTACTCCACCCACATGGTTGGCAAATGGCACTTGGGCTTCTACCGCAAGGAATGCATGCCAACACAGCGAGGGTTTGATACCTTTTTTGGCTCTCTCTTGGGCAGCGGCGATTATTACACTCATTACAAATGTGACAGTCCTCGGATGTGCGGCTACGACTTGTATGAGAATGACAATGCTGCATGGGATCATGACAATGGCATGTACTCGACGCAGATGTACACCCAAAGAGTGCAACAAATCTTAGCCTCCCATAACCCCAGGAAACCCATATTTTTGTACATTGCATACCAAGCTGTCCATTCTCCACTTCAGGCACCAGGCAAGTATTACGAGCGTTACCGATCGATAAATAATATAAACCGACGTAGGTATGCTGCTATGCTGGCATGCTTGGATGAAGCTATCAACAATGTGACTCTTGCATTAAAGAGGTATGGTTATTATAACAATAGCATTATCATTTACTCATCTGACAATGGAGGGCAGCCCACAGCCGGTGGAAATAACTGGCCTCTCAGAGGAAGCAAGGGGACATACTGGGAAGGAGGGATCCGAGCAGTTGGCTTTGTTCATAGCCCTCTGCTTAAAAACAAGGGGTGTGTGTGCAAGGAGCTCATCCACATAACAGACTGGTTCCCTACTCTAATCATGTTAGCTGAAGGGCAGATTGATGAGGACACCGAACTGGATGGCTATGACGTGTGGGAGACCATAAGTGAAGGGCGACGGTCTCCAAGGATGGATATTTTGCACAACATTGATCCTATCTACACCAAAGCCAAAAACGGTTCCTGGGCAGCTGGCTTTGGACTATGGAACACAGCGATTCAGTCAGCGATCCGTGTGAACCACTGGAAACTATTGACCGGGAACCCAGGATACAGCGACTGGGTCCCTCCGCAGTCGTTTAGTAATGCTGGCCCCAGTCGCTGGCACAACGAACGAGTTTCATGGACCGCTGGGAAAACCGTGTGGCTGTTCAACATCACGGCTGACCCATATGAGCGAGTGGACCTTTCCAGTAAGTACCCAGAGGTGGTAAAGCAGCTGTTGCGTAGGCTTTCGCAGTTCAACAAGACTGCTGTCCCCGTCCGATACCCACCTAAGGACCCCAGGAGTAACCCCAATTTTAATGGAGGCGTTTGGGGCCCATGGTTCAAGGAGAATGAAAAGAAGAAGAAACCCAGCAAAAACAAAGCAGACACTAAGCAAAATAAAAATAAAAACAAGAAGAAACCTGACAGAAGAAAAGGACATTCCCTAAGGTGCTTTGCAGGTGGATAGTTTCAGTGGTTCCCTAAGGTGCTTTGCAATGGTTTCTTATGCTGCAATCCTAAGCATACATACTGAGAAAGACTACCAAATGTAGTGGTAGCTAAACTTCCAGGTAACTGTTCAGGCTCAAGAGTCCATTGCTAAACCAGAGCAAAATAGTCCCCAAAATTCATAATTTGCAGACATACCAACACAGTAGAAGTGCCATTTTTCTTTGGTCTTATGTTGTAGCAACAGAGACATATGTCAGATGCAGTTGCCCTCACTTCCTTATCTTCCATACAGTGGAGGGTTACTCACACATTATTGCTCACACCATAGGGGAAAAGGCTACAGCTCAGTGGTAGAGCAAAAGTGTTGCATGCAGAAGATCCTCTGTTCAACCTCCAGCCACTCTAGGTAGGGCTGGGAGACTCTCCTATCTTAAAGCTATGGAGATCTGCTGCCACTCAGTGCTGAAAATTCTGAGCTAGGTGGACCAAAGGTCTGACTTGGTATAATGCAACTCCCTGTGGCCTTATGCTGTCTCTGTACCCTACTTTTGTAGAACACATGGTGATATGTGTTCGAATGCACCTGTTTATTTTAATAACCATGTAAAAAGCCAAACTGGTAAAATATTCTCCATTGCTGGGAGAAAATAAAGACCAAAAAAGGGATAAAACATTAAAATGAGTTGCCCCCTTATGTTATCTTGATGAAGCGCAGCCAGCCATTAAGCTACCAGAAATAGCCTGAATAACTTGTGAAAAAGCTGCTTCTAATTAAATTTTGCCTAGCTTTCAACTGGAAAGGATTTTTTCCTTCCCAGAATGTGCCAGGCTACAATTCCTTCCAATAAAAACAAGCTATGCACACACATACAAAACTGCTAATACATGGTTATAATTACAGAAAGATGTAGAGTTATAGATTGAAACTCTTTGCTGGGTTATGTGTGCACAATCCGATACAATATTTACACAGAATTGTTCACAGAATTGCAGCCTTATAAAGGTATTCACCAGCAGTGCTTGATAGATTGCATACCAACTGTCTGAATCCAAAAGGCTGTGTGCACTCCAGCACATATGAAGCTTCAGATAAGTAGGCTTTCTCTATTCACTTTAATAAGTGATTTGTGTGCATTAAGGTGGCCAGACTTCAACCTTGAAGCATATATCAAAAGAAGGTCTTACTGACTTAGCAAGAGGTTGCTTATATATATGGATTGTAGCCAGCGGCATAAAGAGCCAGGCATGCAGCCCGGTCCCATTGTTGATTGGAGAAGGCAAAGATCCATGAACACAAGCTGTTCTGCAGCTGATAATGAGAAGAAGCTCATTCAGGATGTCCAACTGATGAATGGATGGGCATAGTCTAAATATGGTTCACAGCTTCCTCTGTTGAAGAGAGAGAGGTCAGAAAATAGTTTTTGGCAAATGCCTTACCCCAGAGGTTTTCAACCTTTTTGAGTCCACGGCTCCCTTGGTCAACTACATTCTTTCTGCGGCACCCCTGTGGGGCTTAGGAGCCCAGTTATGTCACCCTTTTTTGATCACCCTCCCTTGTGGAGTATTCCCTCAGACTCCTCTGTTCTCCCCTCTCCTTGGGAGTCCTCTGGGCAGCCACAGCTACTCACCCCAAATAGAGTTGCCTACTCACACTGCCTCACAGGGGCCTAGCCAGCCAGAGACACCATTTGCCTGGATAGCTTGTAACCAAGGCTGCTGCAATAAACAGCTGTGTTAGCCTTTGGGAAGCAGAGATGCAAGAGGGCACCAGAGCCCAGGGTGCCACAGCACACTGCTTGAAAACCACTGCCTTAGCCACACTATGTAAACCTCAACACCTGTAGTAGAAAACAAGATAAGGATTTTCACTTTCCATTCCAGACTTCAGAACTTCCCATTCAGGGTGCTGATGTAAGGCCAGCTCCCACTATTCCAAAGAGAGGAAACCTGTGACCCTCTTGATGATGTTGGACTGCAGTTCCCATCATCCCTGAACTTCATTGGCCATGCTGGCTGGGCCTAATGGAAGTGGATCTGCCACAACATCCGGAGAGCCATAGGTTCCCCACCCCTTCACTATTCACTAGTCCATGGGTAGTCTCACCCTGAAACAACAGTCTGTAGTAGGTCCTGTTTGTGAAGGAAGCTAAGCAAGGGAAGAAGAGGCCTGAGACAAGGGGAGAACAGTAACAACTGTGACAGGTTGGTAACTTGGCAGCATTAGTGAGGTGAACAAGTGGAAAACTTTAGCTTGTAATACATACATAATTTATTTTGAGGTACAGCACACCAATGACTTTTTGCTCCCATAGTTTTCCTGCGGGTCATTTGTTAGTCCACTGTTATTCCTAGGAGAATGTTGTTTCATGTAGCAATAATCTGCAAGTACTGTAAAATCAGAAATAACTGTAAGAGGGGGAGTTATCTGGGTGCATTCTTCCATTCTGTGTTTTGTCTGCAAGCATGTTAAAGTGGTTATCTGGCTGGGTAGTCACACATTTTCTTTATGGAAGCAAAACTCTTGGATGTTTAAAGAAGAGGGAGGAAGGGGGAATGGAAAAAGGGTAAACTCTAAACATTTTATTTATGTATCTATTAAAAATAGTTTATTTTTATGGTGATAATCAGAATAGCCTCTGTTGTCTTTTTTTGTAAAAGTTTTTTTTATAAAAACAACAACCCAGTTTTCAGATTTTGAAATGGTTTTGCAATTTTTATATGAAAATGGAAGTTGGACTTTTTGCTTTGGGCAGACACTTGTCTCCACCTTACCCTGGTCAGTAGAAACCTTCACCATTATCCTCACAAAGCAGGTGAAGACGAGAAGATGGTTAGAAAGCCAATTGCCTCTGTTCCTTAATTGTGGTTGGTACTAAATCACTGGTAAATGAATATTTTACTGTTTTCACAAAAATGAATCTATAAACAACATTTGATAAAGCAATTTCTAACTCATTAACCACTCTTGCTATATTGCGTCCAGGACTTTCAGTAGGGACTGTGATTGCAAGGGCACAAGAGAAAGATATTCTTGGGGGTTGGATCTCAACCCCCATTCCTTTCTTTTGGACACCTTCTGAGAGGGTAGGATCAGGTCTGTAAAAGATGAACTAGTCACACTCATCTGGTAACACGAACACATATGCATACCTTGCACAGGTAAGAAATACTATCTCTGCAAAGTTTCCATTCAAGGTACAAAAGTCGTATTCTTGCACTGGGCCTCTAGATCCAAGGGTTCTGGAACTCTCTCCATTATCAACACTGCACAGCAATGTAAAAAGAATTAGAGAACAATGAGATGAAAGACCACAACACGATGAGTTCGTACTCTACAAGCTGAAGCCTGGAACCGATAAATCCTGTTTATCCAATTAGTGTGTTCTGCAACAGTCACCAGCAAAATAAACTATACAGCCTACTGCATTTATTTGAAACCTAATGCTAAAATAAATTTCTGCAGATCACCATTCTTTAATATACAATTAAGAACAGACCCAGTCTGGTGTAATTGACACAGTTTTTGCTGTGGAAGGCTTAGGTTCATATCTTTGCTCAGAAACAAAGCACACTCGGCAAACTTTGGCTAGGCTAAGCTCTTTCGGCCTAATCAATATCACCATGTTGCCATGAGAATAAAATGAGCATACGCCACCTTGGAGGAAAGCCAAGAGATAAATTAGATGTATAGTCTCCTGTGTCTTAACAGCTAGAGGAGTGTAACAAGTTCATGGTGCCTCAAGACACATTAGCTCATGTTAAGTGCATACATAAATTTTGCCATGAACAATTAAAAAGGATTAAAGCATTCTGTTGCCCTAGCACGACGTATACATTTTAAAAAGGAAGCAGACTTTTTGTGGTCAGGGATAGCAGGGAAATTCCTTGAAAAGAGTGGCATGAGCAAAGGATTAACGGGAAAGTGTATAAACACCCTTCAAGCAATTCAGGATGAATGCTCAATAAACAGGTCATCTGGCGAAACCTTAGGTAAAGGTTTTCAGATCACTGCATCTCCATGGGAGGAATTGTTTGTCTTCTGCATTTCTGCTTGTCTAATAGGTTCTTTGACAACACAAGTCCTGCCAGAAAAAATAGGCAGCCCTTTATGAGTTAAATTGACTCAACTTCGGCTCTAAATGGATTAGAAAAGACCTGGTTGAAGAGCATTACCTCAAAAAGGATGTTGTAGAGCTGGAAAAGGTTCAGAAAAGGGCAACCAAGATTATCAAGGAGATGAGAAGGAAAAGGTTGCAGCATGTGAGCCGTTTTCGTTTGGCTGAAAGGTGAGTAAGTTGACACGATAGAAACTTATAATTATGCATGGCTTGGAGAAAGTGAATAGTTTTTTTCTCAATAGTGCTAGAACGCATGAGCATTCAGTGAAGCTGCCTGTTAGAAGATGCAGGGCAGATGAAATAAAGTACATGGTGCATTGCTAAACTGTGGAACTGGCTCCCACTGGAGGCAGTGATGGCAACCAATTTGCAATTAGATTCATGCAGGATAGGGGGCTATCGATGGCAACTAGCCATGATGGCTCTGCTCTGCCTCGGTGGTCAGAGGTAGTAATGTTTCTGAATGCCAGTGTATGGGAATCACAGAGGGGGATGAGTGCTGTTGTGCTTTAGTCCTGCTTACGGCTTCCCCGCAGGCATCCAATAGGCCACTGTGAGAACAGGATGCTGAATGAGATAAGCAGCTCAAATTCAACCGCACTGCGTGGCTGATAAGTATTAGGTAAAAGGTAAAGGTACCCCTGCCCGTACAGGCCAGTCTTGACAGACTCTAGGGTTGTGCGCTCATCTCACTCTAGAGGCCGGGAGCCAGCGCTGTCCGCAGACACTTGCGGGTCATGTGGCCAGCGTGACAAGCTGCATCTGGCGAGCCAGCGCAGCACACGGAACGCCGTTTACCTTCCCGCTATAAAGCGGTCCCTATTTATCTACTTGCACCCGGGGGTGCTTTCGAACTGCTAGGTTGGCAGGCGCTGGGACCGAACGGCGGGAGCTCACCCCGCCGCGGGGATTCGAACCGCCGACCATGCGATCGGCAAGTCCTAGGTGCTGAGATTTTACCCACAGCGCCACCCGCGCCCCATGATAAGTATTATTAATGTATTATTAATGATTAGATCATAAACCAAAATTTACAAATCATAAACATCCACATATAATGTATGTATAAGTCCATAAACAAGAAATGGCAAACGTAATAAATTGCTATCAGGGAATACCACAACGAAGGCAGGATGCCTTTCAATAGATAATGTCCGACAATATTGTAGTGGTGGGTGTGACAACGTAGGACGGTCAGGTGGTACCCGGTGCGGAAAATTTATTGTCACCCCCTCCCCCCCCATTGATTTTTATTTATTTTTTTCTCTGCAAAAATGGTTTTACGTTATTT